GGCTTTCAGTATGTCTGTCAGGATGTGGTCTTTGCCGTATTCACTGACAATCTGCAAGAAAGGGTGAGGGATGGGAGGCCCTGCTGGGCTCTCAGAGTCGGAGCAGGACGTTTGCATAGCTGGTGGCTGTAGGAAGGGCAGCATGAGGCCATCAAGTACATCCTCCGTGCAGAACCAAAAGCTTGGATTTTAAACAACTAGAAGGCAGAGGACAGACATGGGCTCTGTGCTGCAAAAGGCCAGAGCACACGGTGGCTGTTCCAAAGGGCAGGAGGGGATAGAGCACCCTGAATTTAAATGAACCAAATATAATTTTTCAACAGGAGGTGCCTTTAGATGGTCGAGCAGCCCCTCCCCCCAGTTTAGCCCCCGTCCTGGCTGCCTTCGGCCACAGATCCATGCTGACCTCCTTGGCAGTCCAGAGACCGGTGGCATGAGTGATCCATTCCCGGGAGTGAATGCCAGTGTCAATCCAGATGGCTGGGCGCTGAGAACCTCCAGTGCTGAACTGGGAAAAGAACCAGGCCCCAGATAGGTTTGAGCCGAGAGAGCTATGGCTCTGTTCCTAGGCTGCCTGGAAAGAGTCCCCAGGTGCATCCTCACCGCCTGAGGCGGCTCTGCGTGCCAGGTGTGCTGAGCCTGAGCGAGGGTGTGTGTGCAGGTGCCTCTGCCTGCCCATGAAGTGCACACATGTGGGGACCCTTGGCAATGCAGTGGCACTCTTAGAGAACAAAGTGAACCAGCCAGAAGCACAGAATTTCCCAGAACTGAAAGTATCTTGAGACTACTGTTTCTCAAACTTTAATGGGCACACAAATCCCCCTGGGGATCTTACTTAAATGCAGATCCTGATTCAGTAGGTCTGGGGAGGGGTCTGAGGTTGGGCATTTGTAACAAGCTCACGGGTGATGTTGATGCTGCTGTGCAAAGGCCACACTTTGAGTAGCAAGGTCTTAGACAACATTAAAGAGAGAATACAACAGCCCCTGGGGGGAAATGGAAGCAGGCACAGGTGAAGTCAAGTCCCAAGTTAGGTGAGGCCACTTGGTTGCTCAGAAGAGCCCACCAGAACACTGTTGAGAGCAGCAGCGTCTTTCCTGACGGCTGATGCCAAATGCCCTGCCCTGGTCCACTCTCCTGAGTGCCCTTTAGGGCATGTACTGAGAATCACTTTCCAGTGGGCTCTGCATTCACTTCTCCTGCTTCCTTTATGACAAAGGGCACTACAATTGCCAAGTTTGCTCAAGCTCTGTTCCAGCAGCCCCTGGGGAGAAGGACTGGGAGGTTTCTCCAGAGACTCAGGCCAATCCGTGGGGCTACCTGAGCCAGATGACCTCGGTCATTTGCAATGGGTCCTCTGTGTACCTCTCTTCCCATTTAATAGATGCAGCAAGCAAGTCACAGGAAGAGTGCCAACTCAGCATGCTCACACCCCAAGTCCAGGGTGACCACTGCCACTCTGCAGCTCCATCACCTTAGCAACCCTCCCACCTACTTCCTGGCCCAGGATGTGCCAGGTCACCACACTGTCACCTGTGTGTACCTGCAAGGGTGGGTGTCACTAAATGCCACAAAGCTTATGGGTCACTTGAGGACAGGAGTGTACAGATCTTTCCTCTCCCCAAACTTCCATTCAGTCATGACCCCAAATGGGCTCAATGTTATGCCAGAGACTGTCACTGTAGAGTTTACTGGTTGACACTGCAAGCTTTACCTTCAGGACCAGAATGGACCGATTTTCAAAGCTGCTGCCAATCTGAATTTTTGAGACAATATCTGAATGCTCAGTTACAAAGTTGTCCATCCAGCTATATATCTGAAAGGAATGAAGTTTATCAGATTGGCAGTTAAGCAGGGAGAGGGATGAACCCCTGGTCCTCTCCAAATACTCTCTTCCCCCAATCCCACCCTCTTCAATGCTTCGAGGGTCTAAAAGAGCCCAGATCAAGAATTGCAAAAATTGAAGATGTCCCCAGGGCTAAGGGCAATGCATGGTGGTCTGGCTGGATTCCCAGGCTCCTCAGCTCCGTTCAGAGCTGCGCCTTTGCCTGGGAGAAGAGCACGTGCTGAACCTCCTCATATCCCCAGGCTCAACCCACAGGACTCTCTCTGGTTAGAAGTTCTCTCTCTTGCCCCTTCTTCTTTGGCCCATTCAACCCATTTGAGAGATCCAGCAGACCTTGTAGTGCTGTTTTTTATTTTCTCGCCCCTTTTAGATTCTAAGCCCCTTGAAGGCAGGGTTCATGTTTTATTTATCTTTGGCATCAATAAATAGTGACAGACTATATTAATTCATTCTCTTATTCTTTCAGTACCCATAATTGAATTAACAAATATATGAAAAAAATGGATCCTCTATGACAGACCTTGTGAAGTAGAAAAAGTGATGATGACAATAGTAGGGTGGACAATATCAATAATGTCATGTCCTTTACATGCAAAATGAGGCCTGAGCCTTGATTTCTTTCTGGAGTGGGCATCCTTGTGCCCTTCTTGCATATTCTCCTTTCCAGACATTGATGCTGCTGTGCAAAGGCCACACTTTGAGTAGCAAGGTCTTAGACAACATTAAAGAGAGAATACAACAGCCCCTGGGGGGAAATGGAAGCAGGCACAGGTGAAGTCAAGTCCCAAGTTAGGTGAGGCCACTTGGTTGCTCAGAAGAGCCCACCAGAACACTGTTGAGAGCAGCAGCGTCTTTCCTGACGGCTGATGCCAAATGCCCTGCCCTGGTCCACTCTCCTGAGTGCCCTTTAGGGCATGTACTGAAAAGTCAAGTCCCAAGTTAGGTGAGGCCACTTGGTTGCTCAGAAGAGCCCACCAGAACACTGTTGAGAGCAGCAGCGTCTTTCCTGATGGCTGATGCCAAATGCCCTGCCCTGGTCCACTCTCCTGAGTGCCCTTTAGGGCATGTACTGAGAATCACTTTCCAGTGGGCTCTGCATTCACTTCTCCTGCTTCCTTTATGACAAAGGGCACTACAATTGCCAAGTTTGCTCAAGCTCTGTTCCAGCAGCCCCTGGGGAGAAGGACTGGGAGGTTTCTCCAGAGACTCAGGCCAATCCGTGGGGCTACCTGAGCCAGATGACCTCGGTCATTTGCAATGGGTCCTCTGTGTACCTCTCTTCCCATTTAATAGATGCAGCAAGCAAGTCACAGGAAGAGTGCCAACTCAGCATGCTCACACCCCAAGTCCAGGGTGACCACTGCCACTCTGCAGCTCCATCACCTTAGCAACCCTCCCACCTACTTCCTGGCCCAGGATGTGCCAGGTCACCACACTGTCACCTGTGTGTACCTGCAAGGGTGGGTGTCACTAAATGCCACAAAGCTTATGGGTCACTTGAGGACAGGAGTGTACAGATCTTTCCTCTCCCCAAACTTCCATTCAGTCATGACCCCAAATGGGCTCAATGTTATGCCAGAGACTGTCACTGTAGAGTTTACTGGTTGACACTGCAAGCTTTACCTTCAGGACCAGAATGGACCGATTTTCAAAGCTGCTGCCAATCTGAATTTTTGAGACAATATCTGAATGCTCAGTTACAAAGTTGTCCATCCAGCTATATATCTGAAAGGAATGAAGTTTATCAGATTGGCAGTTAAGCAGGGAGAGGGATGAACCCCTGGTCCTCTCCAAATACTCTCTTCCCCCAATCCCACCCTCTTCAATGCTTCGAGGGTCTAAAAGAGCCCAGATCAAGAATTGCAAAAATTGAAGATGTCCCCAGGGCTAAGGGCAATGCATGGTGGTCTGGCTGGATTCCCAGGCTCCTCAGCTCCGTTCAGAGCTGCGCCTTTGCCTGGGAGAAGAGCACGTGCTGAACCTCCTCATATCCCCAGGCTCAACCCACAGGACTCTCTCTGGTTAGAAGTTCTCTCTCTTGCCCCTTCTTCTTTGGCCCATTCAACCCATTTGAGAGATCCAGCAGACCTTGTAGTGCTGTTTTTTATTTTCTCGCCCCTTTTAGATTCTAAGCCCCTTGAAGGCAGGGTTCATGTTTTATTTATCTTTGGCATCAATAAATAGTGACAGACTATATTAATTCATTCTCTTATTCTTTCAGTACCCATAATTGAATTAACAAATATATGAAAAAAATGGATCCTCTATGACAGACCTTGTGAAGTAGAAAAAGTGATGATGACAATAGTAGGGTGGACAATATCAATAATGTCATGTCCTTTACATGCAAAATGAGGCCTGAGCCTTGATTTCTTTCTGGAGTGGGCATCCTTGTGCCGGATCCTCTATGACAGACCTTGTGAAGTAGAAAAAGTGATGATGACAATAGTAGGGTGGACAATATCAATAATGTCACGTCCTTTACATGCAAAATGAGGCCTGAGCCTTGATTTCTTTCTGGAGTGGGCATCCTTGTGCCCTTCTTGCATATTCTCCTTTCCAGACAAGTCACAGTCAGTCACAACTGCCCTAGCCGGCAGCTCTGAGCTGCCCTAGCTATGATCATGAATTTTCTCCAAATGAAAGCAACTCTGTTTTGTTCTATGAACATGACTGTCCAATGTGCCTGGCTTCCTGCCCATCATATCCCCTAGTACCCACGGCTGGGGCCACTGGATACCAGGATTTGTCATGGAGAGGTTGAGACCCCTGGATCCCTAACCAGGGGATTGGCTATGAAGGCAGCCTCTACCCTCTCTGTTCTGGCCCATAAAATGGGTCCCTGTTTTGGGCTTCTGCGTAGTAGACCCACGACTCTGCTCCATGCCTGCCTAGAGCTGTACAGTCAAACTGCATCCTCTGTTTCTGAATCCTAGATTCTGGACCTCTTCAAAGCTGAGACCTTCACCTAATGTCTGCTCTGCACTCCCAAGTGTCAGTTCACAGTCTCCCATAGACCCCAGAATCCTTCACTAGTCTCTGCCTGAGTCTGGAAACCCTAAGGGGCACAAAGGCACAAGAGAGCCCAGCGGTGCCCAGGCAGACCCACCTCATCCAGGGTGTGGTAAGAGGAGAAACTGAAGCTACTGGTGCTGCGCTCCAGCCGGCGGGATTTCGCCATGGCTTCTCTCTCCTCATCCAGCAGCACCTAAGAGACAGGGAACACGTACTGGAAGGGAAGCAGAGGGCTGGGCTGCCCAAGCCTCTTTGGAGCCCCTCCTCAGCTGGCCGTGTGTAAAGATAGCACCGACACAGGAGAATGAGCCACCATGAGTGTGAGCTGCACAACAGAGGGAGATGCCAGGTTGCTGGGCTAGTCTCCCAGTTGGCAAGGTGGCATTCTTGCTGCATTTCCCAAATGGGCACAGGGTAAGGAATCCGGAGAGCTGAGCTCTAATTCTGCCTCTCCCACTAACTTGCCATGGAACTTGCTGTGGGCTTAGTTTCCTCAGCTTGAAAACTGGCACAGCAAGATCTGCTTTGCCACCTCATAGGATAAACTGTAATAACAGACATGAAGACAGTTGGAAAAGGTGCTCGTGGTCTAAAGCCAACATTGTTTTTGCCCTGTACAAACACTCTGTTGAGTCAGGACCCATGCTGAACCACGTGCACTGACCCCCTGGGGAGAACAAAGGGCTCCTCTGATCCCCAACATTGACCCTACCCCCAGGAAGTAGCCTGGACTAGTGGCATGCAAGCCATTTGGAAAGCCAGGCACAGACAAAGCCAGCCCAAATCATTACTACCAATTTGCCAACAGTCTTCCACTTGCCAAGTTAATTGCCTACTAAACACAAGTACAGGTGAGCCAAAAGCAATGTCTATGAGTGTCAATTTGGAGTTGACACTCAGTCCTCACAGAATAATTCCCACTGACCAGGCAGTGGAGGGCCTGAATTGGGCTCACTGCTGAGGCTACTCACACCGTCCTGGGACATTTTTCCCAGCTTGGGTCACAGTGAGATGGGCAGGTGCCCATCTTCACTCAAGCTCATACCCTTATATTGGCTTCAGGTACTAAGGCACCCCAGATTTCAGCACTGACTGTCCAGTGTGACAAGTGCCTGGGCCCCTCTGTCACAGAGGACGTTGAGAATGCATCCTCATCAACCCAAAGTTGTACCTTGTTTGCAGCTCCGGGTCACAAGTAAGACTTGACAATAACTTATTTGGGGTCAGAGGCTTTTAGTTTACCAAGCATCTTTATCCACATTATCTCACTTGATCTGGTCAGATGACCAGATAACAGGGCAGGAATTAACTATTCGTGTTTTAGAGATAAAGAAGATTGGACAGGCAAAAGGACTTAATGGCAGAGCTAACAAAAGTGGCAGAGGTGAGGTAGAACTGGATATCCTAGTTGCTAGCCTTGGGTTCCTTAAGGCTAGCTGACAAAACTAAAGGCTGACAACAGTAACATATATATACATAGATGTGTGTGTGTGTGTGTGCATGTGCGTGTGCGTGTGCGTGTGCGTGTGTGTGTGTGTGTGGAGAGAGAGCACACAAATGCACAAAATGTTAATGACACCTGAGAACTCCATTGTACGTTCTTTCAATTAAAAAGTGTTTTAAAATAATGAAAAACCAAGTACCCCCGAGCATATGAACACAAGACACTAAAATGCCAAAAATATATACCAAAATGCTAACAATGTCTGTTAGAAGAATTAGGATTTTTTTTTCCTTTTTGTCTTTTTTCGTGACCGGTAACGGGATCGCAACCCTCGGTGTCGCGCCCGCACCGCGCTCAGCCAGTGAGCGGACCGGTCTCTATATGGGATCTGAACCCTCAGCGGGAGCGCCACCGTGCTCCCAAGCGCCGCACCCTACCAAGTGCGCCACTGGGCTGGCCCAGAATTAGGATTTTTAACTATTTTTTTCTTTTCTCTATTTTTACACTTTGGCAATGTGCTTATACTACTTAAATAAGTATGGACATTGAAAAGAATAAATAACAGCAACACCAAAAGCCCTAATGGCTAACGTAGAGTAGCAGCCCGGGCTGGAAGAGAGGTGCCCCCGCCCCACCTGCTGCGGGTGAGGCCACTGCCTGGTGACTCATCCCTGAGGACCCAGTCAGCTCACAACTCTCAGCTTCACAGATTTCAAAATGGGACTGGAAATTGATGTTTGAGCCCATTTTATTTTATTTTTGAGCACCAACTACGTGCTCAGCAATTATAATTGTCATGTTTTCTAGCTGAGCTGGCTGGGCCGGGGACATTCCCACTTGGGCAGAGCTGGGACTGCTGGTTAAGTTAGAGATGGCTGGGGGAGCCTCAATCCTTGCTGGCCTCTCACAAGCACCAGACAAAAGGAGTTGGTTTTTTTGCCAGGAAGTTGACCCAAATCTCAGCCGCCTACCGTGACCAATGCCCACAGGCCCCTATGGGCCAGGTGCTACCAGCCATGGGCACGGGTAGCTGTGAGGAAGTCCAGGCAGGGCAGGCCTGTCCCAGGCTCTGGCCTCAAGGAAGGAAGTTAAATGAAGTCAAAGGGTCCCTGAGGCTGATCTTCTAGGGTCTGGTGGAGGGCCTGAAGTGTGGGCAGAGGTGGAAGACAGGGAGGAGAAACTGGAAAGAAAGGACGAGAGGACCCAGCTCTTCCCACACAGCCCGGGGACACCACAGGAAGACAGGTCCCAAGAGGCTGTTTTTTGTTCCACAAAACAGCTTGGAGGCAAATGGGAAGTTGGCACCAAACTGCAAATAACTTTCCAAACACCCTCACAGCCTCATGAGTGGATAGGACGCCCCCTTACAAATCAGGAATGCTCGGCCCGCACAGCTGGGCCCAGCTCCGGGGACATTGATCTGCCCGGCCTGGGAAGTGCACAGATGCTTGCTCCTTTCACAGGGCTCAGGGGAGGGGTGGGGCGCTAAGCATGTGGTCCTGCCACAGCCTCAGGAATGCTTGGTGACAGCCCTTAGGCTTCTCAGGAAAACAAAAAAAACAACCAACAAACTCAGAGGTGAGCCATTTGCCTCCCTGGAAGCCATAACCTGACAGGGAAAGTCATACTGTGGTGTGAATTAATTTATGATAGGGGTAAGGAAGGATGGGAGCCTTAAGCAAACAACAGCACCTCCAAAATGGGAGAGGGGAGGAGACCCAGGGCCCCAAAAAGTGACACTGGGGCCTGAAGGGAGCAGCATCTCTCAGCACTGAAATGGACGCAGCCCATGGGAACAGAGTGTGTGGGGAGCTGTGTGATGACAGCTGTCACCTCTCCTCATGTGTCCCCGGCCTTGTCTTCCAGACTTGATGTTTGCAGCAGCAGCTACTCAGCCAGTGGCAACTACAGTTGGAGGCACATCTGTGGGGGCGGCTACAGATGCTGTTAGGATGGACCCCTGCCCACAGGACAAAGCTAAAACACGACACAAGCCACAATGACAACAGCTGGGGAGGCAGGTGGCACCAGTGCAGGTCTTGGAGCCAGACCATGCCCGGATGCTGTCACCAACTTGGACAAATTTCTGACTTCTCGTTGCCTCAGTTTCCCCTTCATAAAATGGGGCTCATGTTATCACATACTTTAGCACATACTTTAAAGTGTTCTCCTGAGGCTTAGAAGGGTTACACGTAAAATGCTTAGGATTGCCTGGCAAGCTCTAAATGCTAGTAACTGTTAGCTGTGATGATGATGACAATAACCCTTGGGCTGACTCCAGGGCTCTGTGACAGACACAAAGACATGACCAGGAAATCTGGATTCCTCCAGAGGGAATGTGGCATCTGTAGCACTTGGAGGGCATCCACGGTCACCAGGCTGAGTCAGTCAGCACCTGTTGCCCAACAGAGGGGCCTGGGCCTGTCCCTGCCCCTTGATGCAGCCAGACTCTGCCTGTCCCTCAGGGCCTTGCCCACGACTGCTCCTTTCTTCCCCGCCTTCTTCTGCAATCCCCCCAGCCACCCTTCTCTCTCTTCTAGGCCACCACCCACCCCCACACCCGCCAACAGCATTTTCATGTTGAGAACACTTCCCCTCAGCCAGCAAGTATTTGTTGAGCACGCACTGTGTGCTGGGCACTAGAGACATGGAAGCCAATGCAGCAAAACTGTCTGCCCTCATGGGGCTTACAGTCTAGCAGGAAAGGCAATCAGCACGACAAAGAAGTACATTACACAGTAGGATGCGAGAAGGTGGTAAATGCCCAGGAGAAGAGTGAAGGAGGGGAGGGAGGGAGTTGGGGATGAAAGGTACGATTCAAGGTACGATTCAAAGTCAGGTGAAAAGGTGACACCTAAGCAAGGTTGAAAAGCAGTGAGGGAATAGCCACGTGGACGTCTGCAGGAACAGCATTCCAGGTAGAGGGCCCAGCCAGCGCCAAGACCCTGAGATGTGAATAGTCAGGTGGAAAGGTGACACCTAAGCAAGGTTGAAAAGCAGTGAGGGAATAGCCACGTGGATGTCTGCAGGAACAGCATTCCAGGTAGAGGGCCCAGCCAGCGCCAAGACCCTGAGATGTGAATCTCGTCAAGGGCCCTGCGGCAGGAATGGGTCAGGCAAGCTCGAGGACCATCAAGGAGGTTCAAGGCCGTGGTGCAGAGCGAGCTGGGGGAGAACAGTCATTGATGGGGGCAGGGAGTGGATCGTGTGGAGCCATATGGCAATTTTAAGGACTTTGGCTTTTACTCTGAGTTAGGAAGTTCATTGGAGTGTTTTAAGCAGAGGAGTGACATGACCAGACTTGCATATTTTTTAAAGGGCCCCTCTGGCTGCTCCTTTGTAACTAGGCCTAAGGAGTCAAGGGTGAAATTGGGGAGAGTGGTTAGAAAGCTACTGGAATAACCCAATGAAGGACCACGGTGCCTTGGCCGGGGCAATAGCGTGAGATGCACTAAGATATATTTAGAAGGCAGAGCCCATGGCATTTGCTGATAGACTGTACATGAGGGGTGAGAAAGGAGTCAAGAATGACTCCAGTTTCAAGAAACTGAGATGGGGGCAGCTGCAGAGGAGTGGTTGGGGCCCAGGGCTGGGGGGCTGGGGGAGCTCAGTGTGGCTCAGGAGAGAGGTGCTGTCTGGAGACATACACGGGAGCCATCAGGAGACAGGGGGTATTTAACAGCATGATCCCGGATGAGGGTAGGGAGGAGAGCTGGAAACCAGAAAACTACAGGCAAAGGGTCATCAGGCAGCCCGGGAGAGTGCAGTGTCCTGGAAGCCCAGGAAAGATACGAGTTCCAGGGAGGGGAGAGAGACCGTTGTCCTGGGGAAAGGGGAACACTGAGAGTCGACCACCAAGCTGGACTTGCATGTGACACTGTCGAGGGCAGCTTTGGTGAAGTGAGGGGCTGACAGCCTGCCGGAAGGGCAGGATGCCGATGGCAAGTAGAGTCAGTATTTTCCAGACTTTTGCTTTTCAGAGAAGCAGAAAAATGGGGTGATGGCTGTGGGGGAAGGGAGCGAGGGAAGGGATCAAGAGAGGATTTTTTTAAGATGAGAGAAATAACCCTCTACTTGTATGCTGATGGAATGATCCACTGGAGAGGGGGAAATTGGAGAAGCAATATTTACACTAAATGCTATTCCTCTCTGGATGGTCGGGGCATGGGTAATTTTTGTTTTCTTCTTGTGCTTTCCCCTATTTTCTAAATTACCTAACATGAATATTTATTAATTTTGTAATCAGAAAAAAGCCATTAAAATCCACAGAGCTGACTGCTCAAGTGAAGCTTTTCCATGGTGACTCATCCCAGGAAAAAAAATAAAAAAGAAAAAAACCCAAAGGGCTGAAAAGAAGGAGGAGGTGAAGAAAAATTAAATCCAAATAGAGCTCACTCGGCATCAGATAATGTCTCCCCGGCCCGCTGCAATTTCCGCACCATCCCCCTGCCTGTCAGTCTCTCCCTGGCCCTGGCCCCAACTCAACACTGTCATCCTCACAGTGGTTTTTCTTGAATGCAAATCTGATCGCGTCAAAGCCCCTCCGGTGGGATGCCTCCCCCATGGTTTTAAGGACAAAATCCCAACCCTTCACAAGGCAGAAAACGCCCTTTGCCATGGGGTCTGGCCTCACCGCCAGTGGAGGCGGGGCCCCCCTTTTCTTCCTTCCCCAGCCCCCCTCGCCGCTTGCACCGCAATTACTGCCTTCTCAGAACCGAGGTGCAGCGCGCTGGCTCCCATAGCAACCCGCACCGCCTCCACCCACGCGCTCATCCTCTCCATTGTCGTCCCCTCCATTTACTCCCCTCCACAACCCCCACCACCACTCTCCGACGCCCCTGGATACAGAACTCGCATTTTTTTTTTCTTTGTATTTCCAGCACCTTGCCCCCTACTCAGCACCCAGTAGGGATCTCTGTATCTGCGGGTGGGGCGGAATGAAGGGACCCCCCTCATCTTTCTCCAGCAGCCCTCTGATCACAAGGGGGGGCAGCTCTTCCCTTCCTTGACAATTCCCCAGGCCTCTGGCCAGTGTGAACACCAGCATCAAGGTTTTTCATGCTTCCTGCAGCCTGGTGCTAGCCACGGATCACACCCTCTCCTCATTCCTACCCTCTTCATGTCCGTGAATTCAACTAACATTTATGAAGCCCTCACTAAGAGGCAGGCCCACAGCAGGTGCTGGGGTACAGAGATGGATGGCGGGGGCATGGAACTAAACCTTGAGGGGCCGAGGGGGGTGCTGGGGAGAAAAAAGACAACATGTTAAAGGGCCGGCTCTGTGGCTCACTCGGGTGAGTGCGGTGCTGATAGTGCCGAGACCATGGGTTCGGATCCTGTATAGGGATGGCCGGTGCGCTCACTGGCTAAGCGTGGTGCTGACCACACCATGCCGAGGGTTGTGATCCCCTTACCAGTCAAAAAAAAAAAAGACAACATGTTAACAAGGTTTTTCTCTGGTCAGTAGAGTAAATTCATTCAGCAGACAACTGTTGAGGGCCCACCATACAGGGGACAGCAAACCAAGTTACTGGGGCTGAGAAGACACAGGACAGGGAGAAGATCAGGCCCATGTGTCAATATCTGAAACGTAAGAATGGATGCTCATGACTTGAGCAGTGCCAAGTCCTTCCCGTCCTGTTAGCGTCTCTGAGCTCTCCTCTTCCTGGACCCCTTCCCCCATCATCACCACAAATCAACTCCAGCTCCCTCCAAGCCAAAATGTGATCTTAAGTGTGGCAATCAGAGCCTGATGCGTTGCAGACAGAGAAGATGTTGGTGAAAATCGTGCCTGGCTGGGCTGGGTTAGGGCTGAGAGTTCAGCACGTTTTCCTGTGAGGGAGTGCAAAGCCCCAAAGGGATGTGGGGGCTGCAGACATCAGGAGAGGACAGGCAGAGGAGAAGGGACACAACATGGTATGGGGGTGGGCACGCAGAGATGACCCCAGGCCTGTTCCTGATGTGCAGAAATCAACAGAAAGGTTTTAAAGACCTCTGCATATCTATTTGCCAAATGCTGCGGGGGGCAGGCGGGTGGTAGTGGGGGGTTCATAGGGCAGGGCAGAAGCAGGAAAATGCAGACTTCAAAATATGGGCATGAGCTGAAAAACAAGAATCCAGTAATTCAGTTCTATTTCTTTTGATGTGGTGGTCTCTTTTGTCTGTGGGAGTTTCCCCATTTTTGTTTGTGGGGGATTTAATTAGAGAAATATCCCACCCCCACATGTCGGGTGGGAAGCACATATGCCCAATGAGGGATAAAGGTCTTTGAATGGACCCGATGCCCCAGCCCTGCGCTCGCATGGGAAAGGAACGCTGCCTAATGCGTTTATCCGTGGCATGCGGTGTCAAGTGTGCGTCGGGAGGCTCTGTGTTCCCACAGTCAGAGCCGTTAGGGGAGATTAGTGGTGTACTACATGGTTGGCAATCAATCGATGTGGATACAATTCCACAGGTACACAGCCAGCAGCGGTATCAGCAGAAGGATGCAGCCAGCACCCAAGAGATTGTTAGGAAGGAGGCTGTGCCTTCAGAGGCTCTTTGGGATATTCTTGGAGACGCAACAATTGAAACAGAATGTCATGGTGTTTAGAAAAGCTGCTGTAAAGTGAGGCGTCAGGTGGGGTCAAGGAGTTTGGGATGCCCAGGATGAAGGCTCTCTTTGCCCCCACGCAAAGGCTCCCTTCGTCCTCACCCAAAGCTGTTCCTCTGGGAGAAACCTACTGAGAGAGATGCCCTCAGTACAGAGAACCCTGCGCTGCAGGTGTGGGAGCGAAACCATGCAAGGGACAGGAGTCAGAAAAGCAGAAGCCAACCAGAGCTGCCCCTCACCCCCCACGGTGCCCAGGGAGGACCTGCGCTCTTTCCTCCATTCCCCATCCCCCTGACACCCCCACCTCCTCCTTGCTACGAGCTGCGAATCCCTCCACGACACGGCTCATCCACAGGTGTCCCTTCCGTTCCCACACCGGGAGTACTTTCCCCTCATGAACGCTGTCCTAGGTTTAAAATTCCTCTGGGAAGTTTGAGGTTTAAGTCTTCCATGACATGTTCACAAACACGCAGATGGAGACCCAGAAACAAAATGTCCAATTTGAGCCCTGAACGCTTTTCCTCCACATTGGGCCCCCAGCAAAAAGGAATGTGAGGGGCGAGACCCCAGCCGCAGCGGCAGGGTGGGACCTCACCTGGATGTCCTTTATCATGATGCTGTAAGCAAGGCCATGAGACTCCAGATAAGCTTTGACGTCTTTCAGTTCAGAGAAAGGAACTCTCATATCCACGGGGAGGCTGGGTCTGGCTGGGACACGCCAGAAGTCCACCTTGTTCACAAAGGAAAGAAAAACAGATGTGTTCATTGCATGTCCTTACACACAATCCCGTGGGCACCCTAGAAAGCCAGATGATCTTCTCTTACACATTTAAAAGGTCCCCAGGCCTGGGGCAGGGAGTCGGGAATCAGACCCTCTGCCCACAACCAGGCACTCCATCAGTGCCAAGGAGCATGCCAAAAACATCACCTCCCTGTGGGTGGCCCACCACAGCCACCTCAGTAACCACAGCTGCCGCAAAAGTGGCTAGATGTCACAACCACCACGCAGATGGTCCGCCAGCCACTGGAGTGCATTGACAGGTAATATTGATTCGATCAACATATGTCGACATTGAATCCCAAAAATATGTAAAATCAATTATGATTCAATAAAAAAGAGGAAAAAAATAAGAAATAAAGAAATAATAAATCCCTTTAAAAAAAGGGGGGGGGGCAGTTCCATCGTGAAAACCCTAAGGCCAAGCAGAAAGACCGGGACAAATAAACAAAATCCCCAAGTCACTGAGTTTTTTTCCCTAATTTCGAGCATATTTGTCCTCCAGCCTCACTCACACATTACAACTTCGCCTGGATCCAAAGAGCCCTAAGGAGTTCCCAAAGGTGACTCACTCATCATCAGGGACATTCACATGGACAAGGACCCTGGTCAGAAGAGGGAAGAGTCCCTGATCCTGATCCCTGGAGAAGCAGGAGAGGCCTAATCTGGATGCCCATGTCATCCTCTCTCTACATCTATTTTTCAGTCTGTAAAATGGAGGGAATTATCATAAAGTGTTGAGTCCCCATTGACAGGGACACTTATATAAATAGCAGCAAGGGCTTTGGGCCACGTCCAGAAATATCTGGTTGTTTCTACAACCCTCAAACAAAATCTTTCTATTATAATGATGGAAGAAATGTTTTCCATTGTGAAAACCTGCAGAGGACAAATGTTCTTGGAAACAAACGCTCAGGCTGACAGGGACGAACCCAAATAAAACACAGGTTTGCCAAGCTAAGCCATTTCCATGGGGAAGCAGATGTGTCCAGTCTCCGTGCTATGTGGCTTCCCACCCAGACACATCTGTGCCTGCCATGTGGCTTTAGGAAATTCCAGCTGTTTTCAGAGCAGCCTCCCTGACAGGGTCTGCTCGGCAGCCCTTCCATCCAGGACAGAAATGATACAGTCTAAAAAGACCACCCAACCTTCTGGGCAAGTGTCTCAACCTTTCCTGACGAGAAGCCACATTTGATTTTTTCACAGTTTTGTGATCTTTGGCAGAGACATCAGGAAGGCGGGTTTGGGATTTGGGGGAGCAGAACAGGGAGCTGGAGGGGAGAAGTGTCTCCAAGCCCTGAGGATTCCTCACCTTCTGGGGCTTCAGGCCCTCCAGGTCCCTGAGAAGTGAAAGCTCCTTCTCATCTTTGGCCAGGATTCGAAGAACCTGGTCTCTGGAAAAACACGGGAGGGGCAGAGGAAGCCATGGAAAAGAATTCCTAGAAGGCCGTCTTGCTCGGAAGAGGCAGAGTGCAGAAGAGACGGGGCTGAGGGGACCTGGCAGGAAGCCTGGGACACCATGTGACCAGAGGCTGAGCGGGAAGGGCTCGGAGCTCTGGGAAGCACTCAGTCCCTCAGCCTCGAGCCAGTGGTCTCTCCAGCCCCAAAGACAGACCCCACAGTGGACTAAATAAATCTTGTCAATGCTACGAAGAACTTAGAGCCAAGACAGGGAAAGCAGGATGGGAAAGAAATACGGGGTGTGTGTGTGTGTATGAGTGTGTGCGTAGCAAAAGGAAGGAAGGGGAGAAAGGAAGAGATACAGGGCCGGGGGGACCCATGGGAGCCCCAAGTGCTCTTCATCCAGGAGCCCCAAGACCATGGTCTGTCCAAACCCATGGACAGGGAGATCAGAGAACCTCACCCCACCTACTATGGAGGAAGCTGAGCTCCGTCCCTTCCTGCTGGAGGTGCGTGGGGGCAGCGCCAGCCCATGGCCTGCAGAGTGAGCTCTGGGGTCTGAGGCCTCGATGCTGGATCCCACCCCGACTGGACAGTGGGCCCCTCTCTAAGCTGTGTCTCCCCTTCTCTACTACAGAGATACTGTGGATTATCTACCTTGTGGGATCTTTGGGAGGCTCGCAAATCATGTCCATAGAAGCTCTGGCATATGACACCAGAACTTACTATTATTCATAGGGCAATACCACGTCCATGTTTGGGTAGGGGTACATAGTCTTTTAGGGGTTACTAACTTCTTTGAGAATCTGAGGAAAACTATGAACCCTTCACTCCCAAAGAAGTACACATACAAAAACCGTTACATAACATTTCAGGGATTCTTGGAGCCCTGAAAGTTTACCCCTGGACCCCAGGTAAAGATCTCTGGATTTGGGGAGGGACAATAACACAGCCGCGTGGCCCGCCCTGGAGCACGAGTGGAAGAGCATGGAACTGGAGGTGGGGTCAGGGTGGGAACCAAGGTCCTGGCTTCTGCACCTCGATCAGGTCCCCGCAGGACAGCCATTTTCTCACTGGGACACCCGGTTCCCTAGCTCCCGGCCAGTCCTCCCTGCTGTGCAGCAGCCACTCACCCCGTGAAATTCATTTGGCCCAGAGCTGCTGCCAGAATAAAGCTGAAGACCAGGAGCAACCGCCTGTCCACAGGGGACAGCCAAGGATCCATCCGTCCTCTGGGGGTTCCCCGCATGCTTCTGCGTCCAGGTGACCTTCAGGGGCTTTCCTCATGCACAAGCATGGCCCAGGCCTCAGGACAGTGTAGCACCTAGAGGCCGGCAGACCCGCCTGAGAGTGGGCATTAGGCTCTCTCTGGGGAGACCCCGCGAGTGGCTGTCCCACACCAGGCCTTGGGAGAACTAGGGTCACCCCTCCCCCCCAGGCAAATCCTCTCCTGGGAAGGGGAGAAGGAAGAGAGGAAAACAGGGCCCTTAGCTCTTCTTTCCTCTCTGGAGGTTTGCTGGGCCAGCCTCTTGTGACCTCAAGTCCACCATCTGGAGAAAGATGGGGGTAGCCGGTGGCCCTAGGACAGCACGCCTTTCCTCCCTCCTGCACGAAATCTTCTCTTTTGCTCTCCTCCTCCCAATCTACTCACACTTTCCCTGGGCCATATCCTCCTTACACATGAGGGTGCGGATGTCATGGAAAGACTGCTGGACTTAGAGACAGAGAACTGGGTGCTCAACTCCTATCCAAAAGATCTGGGGCAACTGACCTGATCTCTCTAAATCTCAGTTTACTCATCAGTCAAATGAGGTTAACAATATCTCCCCTCCCTACCTCACAGGGTTTTGGGGGGAAATAGATGAGGCAACTTGGTTGAATTGGCTTGGCAAAGCCTGCAAAATGTAACGTATTAGTATTTCAAAGGCATTAACTCTTTAGTCACGGCTGCATTTTAGGTCAGTACTCCAGTCACAATAGGGAGAAAGGGAAGGGAAGAGAATGGAGAGGGGGACAAAGGAAATATGTCTCGTATGAGAAGGAGCTCAGTTGAGATTCCCTTTTCTCTATCTTCAGGTGGTCACTAGCACGCTGGCACAGGTAATACATTTTCTGCTAGATGTGAAGGCCACTTGCAGTCATTATTATGGGTCTCAACAGACAACAGAGTCAATGTCTCAGTCCCGCTAAAGCCCCACACAGTCCCCTTTATGAGCTAGGAATAGCAGGGAGAGAGCAGAGGCCTGCACCCAAAGCAGTCATATTGCAGGGAGAAAGTGAAAGATGGTGCCCGAATGGTAAGTGACGAATCTAACAGAAAACCCACAGGAGGTGCAGAAAAGCAGAGACTAAATCCAACAAAGTTGTTCAGCAGAGGATGTCAACCAAAGGCCACTTAACTGTCACTGGCGATTCTCAGAAGTCCCCCTCCCCATCCATCCTTTTCCAGAATGGCCAATTAACTGGCCGTGTGTGCAGGGGCGAGCTCTTCCATTGACAGAATGCCCTGCGAGTGGCTGTCCTATGCCATTAGTTCATGGGTCAGCTGTTCAAACGTGCCAGACTCTCCCACAACCCTGGCTTCAGGAACTCTCAGGCAATAACATTAGCAAAGGGCTGCAGGACCTAGAAAGAAAAGCAATAATGCTTCCACCCAAGTACCAACAGCTCTAGTACTAATGGCAACAAAAGAATGAACCGGTAAACGATAGCTCAGGAATTTAAAGGAAAACTGGGAATGGTGCTAGTCACCCAAAGTACCCAGCATCTTCTCGTGCAAAAGCATCAGTTTAAGTCTCTAACAATGAGACAACTATCCCTGTACTTGGTTTAAGGGGGGGAAGAGAGCGAGAGAGCAGGAGCAAAAGAGAAAGAGAGAGGGGAGCAGCTAGGAATTCTTGAGACTTCTATGGCAGCACTTCCAATAGAACTTTCTGTGATAATGGAAATGTTCTGTGTCCACGCTGTCCAATAGGATAGCCACCAGCCACTCGAAGTGCGGCTAGTGTGCCTGAGGGATTTTAAATTTTTATTTTAATTAATTTAAATAAAATTTAAATAGCCATATGTGGCTAATGGCTATCATACAGAACAGCAGAGTTCTACGGGAATTGACCAAACCTAAAAGCAGCACTTTTGATGGCTGAATTTGAAGCAGACACACACAGCTGTGCCTGACCCACTACCTCATACTGGCTTCTCACTCGCAGTTAATTATTCATCCAATCATTTACTCAGTAAATGTCTAATGAATGCCTGCTATGGGCCGGGCACTTTCTAAGGTCTGAGAGTAAAACTGGGAGCAACACAGACCTGGCCCTTCACTCGCAGTTAATTATTCATCCAATCATTTACTCAGTAAATGTCTAATGAATGCCTACTATGGGCCGGGCACTTTCTAAGGTCTGAGAGTAAAACTGGGAGCAACACAGACCTGGCCCTTACATTTCTAATGAGGTAAGTAGACAATTAATTTAAAGAACATACAGAAAAATGTAAAAATACAGCTGGTGTGTGTGCTACAAGGGAAAGGTACATTGCACAGGAGGACAGGTAACATGGACTCCACATAGACTGAAGAGGGTTTCCCTAAAGAAACTGTGTTGGAGGACTTTAACTTCCCGCAGGTGGGTGGGTTAGATACCTATACAATCCTGCCCAAACGAGACAACTCACATTCAGGATAAAATATTTTTAATAACTTTTTAAATGCGTCACTGGATTGGCATGAAAGTAAGAATCTATAGATTCCCCAAAAGAAGTAAAAACTAGACAGACACCTGAGAGATGAGCAAACTTTCCACCTGAGGATTTCTCAGACCCTAGAGTTCTGGGTCTTCTTCCTGCAAGAGTGTACCTTGCATTTGGTATCATTTTCCTTCTGTTTGAAGTCTGTCTTTTAAAACTTTCCTTTAGCAAAGGTCTGTTTTTATTTATATGAAACTTTTTCATTTTGCTGTCATTCCTGAAAGAGTTTCACTGGGTATAAATTATAGGTCATTTACTGTTCTCTCGGCACACTGAAATTCTTATCCCACAGTCTTCCGGCTCCCATTTTTGCTGCTAAAAGGTAATCAGTGAGTTTGAAAGAGTTTCACTGGGTATAAATTATAGGTCATTTACTGTTCTCCTCTCGGCACATTGAAATTCTTATCCCACAGTCTTCCGGCTCCCATTTTTGCTGCTAAAAGGTAATCAGTGAGTCTACTTATTGTTTTTTATGAGAAGATGGGTTTGTTTGTTTTTTTTTTTTTTCCTGGTTGCTTTGAAGATTTTGCCTTTGATGTTCTGCTGTCTTATTATCATGTATTTTTCAAATCTACCATAATATGTCTAGGTATATGTTTCTTTTGTTTTATCCTGCTTGAGAATCATTTTGCTTCCTGTATCTGGGCATTGCTCTCTTTCCATTATTTTCAAAATTGCTCAGCCATTATATTTTTAAACATTGCCTCTTTTCCACTCTATTATTTTCATCTGGAACTTTTGATTAGATAGATGTTAGGCCTTCTCTTTCTATCCTCTAAGCCTCAGCCATTCTGTTGTATTTCCATTTCACCATGTCTCTGGGCTACATTCTGGATAATTTATTTGTATCAAATATTTGTTTCTTTATTCCAGTTAACTGATTCTCTCATTAGTTGAATTTAATCTACAGTTTAATCGATCTGCTAAGTTTGAAATTTCAATTGCTACAGTTCATCGATTCTGAAACAATATTTTTTCACATTTTAACACCTCTGAAATCAGGATGCACTTGCAGTGATAATTGGCAGTGTTTTTGATGGCACATAAAATTATGGTGCATCTTATAATCAGTTCTGTTTTACAGCCAACACAATATGGTATTCATTTTTCTTTTTTAGAAGTTCTATTTGATTCTTTTTCAAGCCCAAATAAACATATATATAATTTTCTTCGAACATTTACCTATGAAAATCCTTTGAGGCCTGGGTTGAAATTGAGTTCCTCCAGAGAGAATTTGCATTTACTTTTGTGAGTTGCCTGGGGGGCACTACCAAGTTGAGATGACTCTAAATTAAGATTTTTTTTTTTTTGGACTTCATAAATTTAGTTAGCATAAATTTAGGCCACAAACTCATGTGGGGCTTACTTGTGGTTATAAATTCTCAGGGGATATTTTTCCCAGGATCAACTAACACTGATGTTTTAAGCCCTGGACAATAATAGCATATTATTTGCAAACAGATAATTATAGTTAAAGTGTCTTAAGGTCCTGGAATTGTTGGGGAAAAGGATAGATATTGATAATTTTTTAGACTTTGGTAACTATGAATGTTCAAATAACTAGAGTAATGACTAAAAGAATAGGCATAGAGCATATAACTTCCAAAGAGGTAGAAAGGGTAAAGATGAAATGAGAAGAAGGGTGAAAAATAAACCAAAAAAGGTGATTTAAAAAGGTTTAAAAAAGAAGAATTTTTAGAAGTGGGGCAAATTGAAAGGACATAAAAAGAAGAAACTTCCCTAAGTGTATTTGCAATAATACTAAATGTAAATGGATTTAACTCTCCAAGAAAAGACAAAAATGATCAGAATAGATTTTCTTAAAAACCTAGCTATATGTATTCACAAGAGATATTTTTAAGACATAAGAACAAAGAGAAACTAAAAGTCAAGAATGAAAAAAGATATTCCAGGTAAATGCTAATAAAAGAAAGCACTTGTAGCTTTATTAATATAAGATAAACTTTAAGGTAAATGGCATTACTGGAAATAAGAGGATTACTACCTAATGATACTACTTTCAACTTTCCAAGAATATTTAACACATAAAAATACCCAGGAATAATTCTAACAAATAATGTGCAATCCTTCTTGGAGACAATTATAAAACTTTATTGAAAAATGTTCAAGTTCTAAACAAATCCAAAGATATACTGCATTCTTGAATAAGAAAATCCAGTGTTACATAATTGTCCATTCTCCTAAAATAGATCCAGAGATTCAGTGTCCAGTTGACCCTTGAACAACACAGTTTGAACTGCACAGATCCACTTACATGTGGATTTTTTTCAACAAATACTGAACAATGCTGTAAATGTATTTTTTTCTTATGTTTTTCTTAACACTTTCTTTTCTCTAGCTTACTTTACTGTAAGAATACAGTATATTTTATGTATATGTAAACCATACAAAATATGTGTTAATTGACTTTAGGTTATCAATAAGACTTCCAGTCAACAGTAGGCTATTTAGTAGTTAAGTTTTAAGGGAGTGAAAAGTTTT